GTAAAACACGAAAAAGTGCACTCTCATAGTGTCCCGTTTTGTAAAAAAAAAATATATATATTTATATATATATAGTATTGAAGAATAAATATCAATATCGAATTCAACGAAATTCAATCTAAGATAAATCTACCTTCATAAAATAACCATCGTAATAATGAAATAATCAAATATGATAATAATTGAAAAATAATTTCAATTATATGTCATATTCAACAATATCATCTTATCTAGTTTTCATCACGCCCTGGCAAGCACGTCTTTGGTGAAAGGGCCATGTCATTTGGTCTTACGCATAGGCCAAGTAACCTATCATGTCATTCCCCGTCCATTTCCAATTTCTGAGGACCTCATCGGATTTCGATGCTATTAGTGATTACAGCAACAATCCTCTTCCAGGCTCAGGGGGCTAATGAGTGAGACTTCTGCCTTGCGGCAGGACACCATTGCACTGCGCAAGGTGAATGGAGACGATCATGCCACTGTCCACTTCGGCACCGGCGTCCATCTTCCGTAAAAGAGGCAGTGCTCACTTTTCCTGGTTTTTGGGATTCTCCGGTGAGCGCTCCCACATCTTGAAGCATCGCTCCTGGTGCCAGCCATTTAAACAAGGGAACTCGCTGGTTGAACGTGCCTTGTCATGCAGAACCCCGGGGTGTGGCAGTGCTCAGGTTCTTGGAACTTGCAAAACTCCGAGGCCCGAAGTCCGGATCCTTGGCCTGCGACATCTTGAGCCCAGGGTTTTCCTGCCACTTTCATGCGCAGCCAACGAATCATTACCCGTTGGTAGATGCGCAAACACCTCCTAAGCATCACTGTCGCAAGTACGTGTCGATAACAGCTAGTGAGTCTCAAAATCGATATCTACAGGCAGTTGCAACCACTGTACTATAGACTGGAGGCGCAGCTTTGAAGACTGAGATGCCAAGTGCATGAACCAGACTCGTCCTGCTTGATGTTCTCAAGCTCTCTTGCTTCGAACTCCTTAGCGGCAGCTTCACAGCGAAATGTGTCTGGGATACTAGTAAGTAGGACGAAGACACAGAGGCCTGCCTCGTTTTTCAAGCTAAGCTAACTACTCAGACAAGTAAGTTGTCACAGCATATTACTTGTCTGAGAGCCCGACAGCATATGTCCTGAGCGCAAGAGACTTGACGAAACAAGCACATCACCCCTCGAGACGTCAAATCTAAGATGACCGCAATTGCCCAGTTAGCTGGCGGCTGGCGGGCACCCATTAGCTCCAGCATGCTTGTGTGCAGCTCAAAGCCCCACCCCCCGCAAGCAGCTTCACGAAAGATGGCGCCTTTGGAAAGCATCCTACGACAGAACAGGTTGACGTCCCAGAGAAGAACGATACCTGAAAACACAAACTGTCCAATAACCGCGCATCGGCCAGGTTGCATCTTGGATTTCTTCTCGCCACCAACGTCCAACGCGCTCAGGGCTGCGTCAATGCCGCTGGCCTTGATCGATAGGGGACAGAACTCCGTACACGGTACTCTGGCGATTCAACCTCTGAGTCTTGGCTTTCTTGCCAAGTTTGGTGCATTGCGATTCAAAGCCCCGAGAGCCAGGCGTCCACTACCTCCTTGCAAGACGTCATCTGCCCAAACCCAAACTCCCAAAAATCAACAGACAACTTGAAACGACGCAGCGTCAGCTTGGCATGGCTTGGCATCAGCTTAGTGCAGAAGTCACCGAAAGACCGCTGCAAAATGCCCTGTCCCAGCTGCACCCAAATTGTTAGCTCCTCTATGCGGTTGGTGTTCACCTCCAGCTTAGGCTGAGGTACAACCTGACAGCTTTGCTCACTGGTTCCTGCAGCATTTGCCGTCACTTTCAGGCCCCACCTCCGTTTTCTTAGTTTGCTTCTTGGGGTTCGCCTTGGCAGCGACTGCCATCAAGGCCTGTCGGTCGACACGAAGACTTGTGCCAGGAGATGACAAAAATAAAGGATGTCTTTGCATTGCTTGGGCTCTACTGCGCTTGTTGTCCAGCAGCACCGCCACGGCCTGTCTTCTGGCGATCTCGGCTTGTGTCACCTGTGCCGGGCCATGAACTGCACCCAAGCTGCAGGCCTCCTTCGGAGACGAAATGCCGGCCTTGCCGTAGCCGCCTGCTTTCTTGTTGGCCCCCTTCATGCTGGTGTTGGCCTCCTCCTCCGCTTTCTCCATCTCCTACGTGCTCGTCTCCAAAGCGCGATAAGGGAGTTTACAGGCAAACTCTGCATCCGAGCAGCTTTGAGCTCTGCTTTTGCTGCAAGCTTGGCATCTGCCTCACACAGTCGCATGCGCGACTTTTCAACTGGCTAGCCACATCCGAGAACGACCTTGATCATGCTCCTTCAGCTAGTCGGAGACAGGTTGTGAGATTTCGTCTCTCTGTGCGGTGTTTTCCAACGGACATTCTATGCAGTGCATCGGGGCCCCACAATCACCAGCAAAGTTGATAATTGCCCGCAGCCTGAAAGTTGATTCTACGGCGTGCTCACAATATGATGCCATCTCCAGGCTCCCCAAATCTGATCTGATCCGTCTCTCTCAAACTTTGAACCTGTCTCGGTTTGGTGTTGAAACGCATCCCGGTTGCTCTAAACGTGGGCTCCGTGCATGGATACACTTACTTACAGTTGTGTAAGAAAGTCACAGGCTGTCTTCCACAACATGCCGCAGTGGGCGAGACAGCTGGCAGGCCGAATGGCTGCGTGCGCGATGTATCCGTGCATCTGTGTGGAAGCTTCATCTGTTCTTGATTCTGGTTGCAGCCTGTAACTCGAAAATCCCCTTGCGCTTCGCCCTTGCGCGCTCTTGCGCGCACACAGCTTTCAACACATTCCTAGCTTGAAGCCTTTACAAGCCGAGTGACAACAAGAAGTTTGACCCAACATGCGCAACAATCAATGACTTACTAGGGAACATTCTTTGTAGCAGAACCTCGTCCCACAAACCAACTCGCAACCCGGAGGGTTTCCAACAAGAGGCCCAGAATCGCTGGAAAACGCTTTCAGAGGTTGGGGGTAAGATGTCGTGGAAGTGTACACAGACAAGAACAAAAGCAGTTTGGAGGTCGGTTTGGGCCATGGCTCACAAGTGGGGGCCCCACCTTGAGCCGACCTTGCGCGGAGCTTGGGTTTTGCTTGCGCGCGATGTCCGGTATGTCTACGTACTTTTCGGAGGTTCCCAGGCAGGCTTGGGAGGCGTTCTTCTGCAATGCTCCCTGCTAAGTCAGAACGACACGTGTCCACTTGCCAAATGCGGGGCGGCGGCGTTGACTGCTCGACCCTTGCCAGGACTATGCTTCTCGTCAAGTCCCCGTACTTGATTGCAGCAGCCGCGCGAGTGTAGGTGAACTCACAACCGCAAGCTTGTACAGCGACGGACTCTACACCAAGTAGACCATCTTAACCTAGGTGGCTTATACACTGCTTATTCCCTTGCGCTCGCCCTTGCGCGCGCTTGCGCCGTGCCGTGTTTGGAGCAGGTCCCAAACCTGAATCAATATATTCAAGTGCGATGTTATTCTACGGTCATGCGCCGGGGGGTTAGAACAACTCTCATCTCCCTTTCTTCCACCTGCCTTCGCGGCGGCGTCGGCAGCCCTGGCCGCCTTCTTCAGGTTGCCTTGTGCAGCTGCAATGCCTCCGAGCTTTACATGCCAAGCCGAAGCCTTTGTCAGTTTCAGCCCACGCCGCGTCTTCGGCTGCAGCCTTTGCGGCCTGGTGAAGTGCGACAGATGAGCAGACTCGACACGGTGCAAATCATCGCCCTCCGCAACTGAAGCTCGCTCAAGTCACAGTCACGCTGCATCGACTGCAATCACTGACTGTAATAAGAAGCTCAAAGCGCTCTCAAGCAAACATCCACACGAAGAGCAGCCTTACCCAGTCACAGACCTCGTCCTTTGCCTTTGCCGCGGCCGCCTTCTTGTCTTTGGCACTTGCATCTCCGAATCCTTGGCACCGGAGAGCCTAATCTTCCTTGAAATAACATGAGCCCTGAGTAACTCTTTTGGATACCGTCGACTGCGGCACTGGCGACCATGACCGATGTATCAGGTACTGTGCAATTGTCTGCCGCACTAAGGCAAAGTCCCATGGATTCGGGACGTCACCCGCAAAGCGGGCAAGACACACTAACTAGATTTGGACAAGCATGTGCATGTCAAGTCCTTGGGCCCGAATATCGTGCATCGAAAATTTGCAAGCACTTCGCGACACTCGACATGCGAATGACATGGGACTGCACAAAATGGGATTCGCAAAACACTTCCAGCCTTCCAGGTCTGTTAGAACCACGGCATGCGAGGTGGCATAACTTTTGCGAGATGGATAAGTGGCGACGCAGCTGGCAAGCTTGCATCAGAAGCACATATTTGTGCAAGGTGTTAAAAACCTGGACAGCTCCCGGTCGAGGGTTGAGACTGCTTGAAATTTCTTCAAACGCAGGCGTCTTTACGCAGGATTACAACAGCTGCTGCAAATTTCTGGCGTACCAACCATCTCAGGCCAAACAACTTACAAAATGCTCGCTTGGGCTTGCTGTCACAAGTTGCACTCCTCGACCGGGGAGCACGCAATGCAGCATGTTGCCAACAGTTCGTGCCACCGTCTGAGTGCCGGTGAGATCAAAAAGTCCAGCAACCAGACTCATACATGCTTGACGCTCGAATGCTTCTGCACAAACTGTGGCAATGCGTGTCGTTCGTTGGCCGAGCCATCTTAAGAAGCAAAATTTGCAGACACGTCACAAGGGTCTGCACATGTTGCATGCAGCACTGCTTGCAAAGGTACTCGGAAGTTGGTGCCTGTGTGAATATGCTGGTATCCGTGGGTGGATGTCCTCTGGCAGTAACTATGTGCATGAACCGAAATAGATAATCTCTGTGCATCGGACTAATACTGGACTCAAAAGTCCTCCCTGGTTCCAACATCGCAGCTAGCCGAAGGCTCGCTTCATCAAGAGCAGTACGAGAGTTTGCTAGGAGGCTGTTCCCCGCAACACTGCCAAGTCTTTTTGAGAAGGCCGTGAAGCCCTCAAGCCCAAACCTCCTGTTTTAAGTGCAAGTCAGGGACTGCCGCCTGGCCACTCTCAGGGCTAGCGAGTGGCTCCGCGGCCTCTCATTCGCGAGTGACCTGGACGTGCAGCTTTGCAGGCCGGTCCTGCTTTCGCTTCACGAAAGGCTTATGTCACATCACAAAGCAGGCTGCTTCCCCGTCCTGTCGCACATCATGATGACAAAATGCTCTCGTTTGCATCATGCAGACGGTGGCGTCGACGATGCGCCTCGTGTCTCCGGGAATGCTGTCTGGCAATCACCACTTCACAACTGAAAGCGCGACAGCGACTTGATCGGCCCTGATGCACCAGAAGTGTCGTCTGCCATAGTTCAGCTGAGCCAGTGGCTACCGTTTTTAAGACCATCAAAGAGCTTGAAGGGATCGAAGCCCAAGGAGTATTCCCAGTTCCACCTCAATCGACCAACAAGCTTTCTGACTTTGGCGCATTTGACAAAGCTGCTTTTAAGTTCGCGACTCAGAAAAGGAAAAGATATTGTCAAAGAAGTCATACAGGGTGAAATCGCCACCTGTCCTGTCCTGCAGGCTACATGCTTGCATCTTGACAAGATGTGCCAAGTCTAGAGTATACGCACCGGACAGTCGCAAAGAAAACCTGCAAACTCCGGCAATGTGCCCCTCTGTTCTGGGAGCCGAGTTGGGAATTATGCATGTCTACTTCCAAGTAGAATTGGACACCCTGGCCCGAATAAGAGAAGCATCGTACCTGTGGGGATAAATCACCACAATGCAATCGTCCTGGATTCGGCCCTGCGTCACTCCGATGACACCTTGCAAGTCAAGCCAGCAGTTCACTCTTACTGTCCAATTGAAGATCAGATGCCAGCCGGTACTGTTCTTGCTGCAGAGCCGCTGGAGCCGAAGGAGTAGATAATCAGGCTCACCCAGAACCTTGCAGTTTGGCATGGCTGTGTCTGAGGCAGAAGCTCTACAGTCGACCGTTCCACAACACCCAGCACCGGTCTCCGGGCTCGCGGCGCAGTGACCAGAATGTTGAAGTCAAAACCTTCCTTCCAAGCAAAACGCACGAGAGACCAAGAGGCAACTGAAAAGAAGTTCTGTGCGGTGGCTTCGCATCCATGTCCGACATGCAGCCCGGCCTCCTTCTTCTCCGATTTCTCCGGAGTGGCTGGTGCAGTACCCTCCTAGTGGGGTCAGCTGTGCTGGGATACACATAAGCAAAGCATACATTGCGGGCACCATAGCCAAAACACTCGCAACAGTCGGATAAGCTGTCAGACCTCCTCCTCGGACATGGCCATGGCCATCCGCAGGACAGCGTCATCGATCTCCTTCTTCGGCATCATAGCAGTTTCGGTGGCAGTAGTAGTAGGCGTCGTCGGTGTGGTAGTGGAAGTAGTCGTATTGGTCGTGGCAGCGGCAGCAGCAGTGGTCGTTGTGGCGGTGGTGGTGGTGGTGGTGGTGGTTCTGGTGGTGGTTCTGGTGGTGGTGGTGGTGGTTCTGGTGGTGGTGGTGGTGGTGGTGGTGGTGGTGGTGGTCGTGGTGGTGGTGGTCGTGGCG